GTAGGATTCAATGTGCCTGCCACATTTCACCTCTGAGGCAACTAGGAGGAAACCAGGACAGCGGGGCATGGCATGAACTCCACAGTGTTGTATGAGTGTGAATCCCACAACCTCAGCTTAATCTCCTCTGGGTCAGTTACTACACAGATCTCTCCCAGGCAGCATTAGGTATCCAGGCCCTCAGAGCTTCTATACCTGAAGCTTCTTGCTTAGGACATTCCTCTCATATGGCATTACCCCATCTCCCAAGGGGCCTAGACTTCTTGCTAGTCTGACTCCCCAAGGGCAAGAGAAGGGGATTAGTCACCCCTCTTCTGGGTACTTATTACATTCTGAACATATCATAGCACCTGCCCCACTGGACCATAGTGGCCCGACTCCTGGACTAGCCTGGGCTTTCCTGGTGAGCAAAGGTATAAATCACTGGTCTCGGTGAACAACACTATGTCTACTTCCTTCATCTTTGACTACAAAAAAGTCCTCAACAGAGCACCAAACCAAAATGTCAATTAAAAAAATACTATAATTCCAGTTTAAAAACCAAGTTACAGCCGGGCGGTGGTGGCGCACGCCTTTAATCCCAGCACTTGGGAGGCAGAGGCAGTTGGATCTCTGTGAGTTTGAGGCCAGCCTGGACTACAGAGTGAGTTCCAGGAAAGGTGCAAAGCTATACAGAGAAACCCTGTCTCGGAAAAACAAAACAAAACAAAACAAAACAAAACAAACAAACCAAGTTACCTGCAGAGTTTTAGTTTTAAACACTGACATCAAGTGTAGAAAGAACTCAGACTATAAAGCACTCTATGATGAGAATGTAGTACCAACATAACCCGGACCCCCTATATTCCATCTGTCCTAAATCAGAAAGGGCATCGGAACCAAAGGTGTCCCAGTGTGGGTTCATCCTGCAGCCGGCAGGTGAGAAGCCACTTAGGGTGCTGGGGTTTCTTTTGGTGTTCTGAGACTGCATCTCATGTTGCCCAGGCTAGTTTCCAAGAATGGCTTCAAACCCTTGATGCTCCTGCCTCTACTTCGAGCACTGAGGTTATAGGTGTGGGCAATCACACAGGCTAGATGCAGGAAGAGTAGAGAAGAGGGCAAAGACTGGTACCCGCCTCATTCCGGGGCAGAACAGAAAACTCGGCCACTGAATGACCTGTAATTTCACTTCCTCTTCTAAACTATCATAATCCTAATTTTATACTCCATCTCATCCTGAAAAGTCCTTCCAGATGATTGTAACTACTTCTTTCAGCCTTTGTCTCCATTGGGGACTCCCATCCCCATGAAGCACTTTTTTGTTTGTTGTTTGTTTTTTGTTTTTTCGAGACAGGATTTCTCTGTGTAGCTTTGGTGCCTGTCCTGGATCTTGCTCTGTAGCCCAGGCTGGCCTCGAACTCACAGAGATCTGCCTGCCTCTGCCTCCCAAGTGCTAGGATTAAAGGTGTGCGCCACCACTGCCCAGCTCCATGAAGTACTTTTAAGCAGGAACATTCTCGTCTTTTGGGCATGAGCCTTTCGATCTTCTTGAGACTCAGTTTCCTTATCTGTTAAAGTGGGAAGAGTGAACCAAACTGGATGATGTTGATTTGTGATGCCTAGGACTGAACTCTGGGCCTTGTGCATTCGAGGCAAGGACACTACACTGAGCTACAGTATGGGTCAGTCCCATTTGAATACCACAGTCTATGCAGAAAACTTAGCTTGACACTTGCTACTTCATGGGTATACAATAAATGAGTTATTTCCACATCAGCAAAAATCTGAGGGGACACTCTCTAGAGTGGGGATGGGAGGATAGCAGAGGAGGAAAGAAAAGGACACCACGGTTTCCAGAACCTCTGTGGTATAGAATGGCTATGGCCACCTCTGAAATTTCCAGACTACTGTAAAATTCTGCATTCTGACTTCATACCTTTTCCTAGTGTCCCCCCAGCTCTGAGAGCACTGGCCCACAATACAAAACACACCTGTCTGGGAACTCTGGTTTGGATTTGGGGTAGTTTCATGACCCTACTAGTCACCTGATCCAGAGATGCCCAGTCATTGGGATGTGAAAAGAACACTTGATTCTTCTGTGGCTGTGGTCATATAAACCGCACATAGGACTACAAAGGGAATTTTGGTCACAGGCCTCAGCCTCCACACAAACAAAGCTGCCTGAATCTGGGTCAGAAGGGAATGTCATTCCAGACCAGGGACAATTCCTACTGCCTGGTCATCTATCCACAGACATTGCTTCTCAACACTGGCTGGACAGCAGTCACCTGAAGGCCTGTGAAACTTAAAAAAAACAGACACCCCAGTCCTACTAAGCACTTCAGAGGGGAGCCCAGAAATCACTTCCAAATGTAGCACAGGTGACTGACTGAGCTGTGAAGCCAAGGCTGAAGAGAATGCCTGGTACAAGTGTCGTGTCTGAGCTTGGGGGACATGACAGAAGAAAAAAGCAGCTGTCTTTTTTTTCCTGGTGGCATCTGCCGACAGACAGGTCTGTTCCAGCTCCCCTGGCTCTCTAACAGGAAACCGATCAGGAGGCCACAGCACACAGCTGTTTAACCACCCAGGCCTTCCTCATCACCTTGGGAGAACTCAATAAAAGGTGCCCTTCTTAATGAAATGAGCTTCGGAGCTAACATGACAGGAGCAGCTGTGAGAGAGAGACACACAGACAAATGACAAGCCTTGGGAGCACTCCTTTTGGGATTTCTGAAATGGAGTTCTGCTCAGAAAGGCTTCATCAGCTCACCGAAGCAAAAATCTTCAGGGAAATGTCTTCCCTGACATGGTTCATTGCCTCGGAGCAAAATGTAGCTTGGAGGCTGGTGGGATGGCTCAGCTGGCAGAGGCGCAAGTCACAGATATGAGGACCCGGGTTCGAGCACCAGATCCCCAAAGATGGCAGAAGAGAACTGACTCCTGAGAGCTGGCCTCTGATCTACACCAATATAAGATGTTTGCTCTTAGACAAGTTAGTCAGTCTCTCAGTCCTCTCATAATTTTTGCATCTGAATTACCAACAAATAATCTACACATAACTTGTCAGTCTAAGGAGCTGTGAAGGCTGCCTGGAGCAGGGCGCAAGTGAAAGCACCAAGCGGGAATCAGGGGCCTTGGAGGCAGCTCTTTGCCCTAACTGGGCTGAGCTGTGTGTCTGGCAAGTTCACTTGGTTCTCTGGGCCACCTCACAAGCACCACACACAGGGCTAATCAGCTAAGAATGAGCTAATGCCCTCCACCAAAGAGCACCTGCAGACTCCCCTGTGGTGCATTTATAACTCCTCGATTCACAGCAAACATACAGTTGTAATGGTTTAAGTACAGGCTAGGTGCTTTGGCAGGCAGAGAGGAGCTTCAGATAAACTCAGGGTCACGTACTCATCTGACCACACCCACCTTTAGAGCAATTTAAAAGAACATCAACCAGTAATTCCAACTCCTTGAGAAGCAAGAGGCAAGAGGGCCACAAGTTCCAGGCCAGCCTGGGCAATACGGGGACACCTTGTCTGAGGAGGGAGAGAAAGGAAGAGGAGCAGGAGTCGTGGAGAACACCCTTGTAATCCCAGCCCTTGGGAGTTAGAGGCCAGCCTCTCTTTTAAAATAATGAGGTGGGAGCAGGCTTGGAGTTGCACACCTTTAACCCCAGCATTTGGGAGGCAGAGACAGGCTAGCCAGGGCTACAAAGAAAGATCCTGTCTCAAAAAACAAACAAATCAACAACAAAAGGAGTGCACCTCCAGCACCCCCCCCCCCCAAAAAAAAAAATAGAATTAGAAGCAGGCACCTTTGGTTCTAGTGCTGGGGGGTGGGAGTGGGCAGAGGAAGGAGGATCAGTATACATTCGTGGTCAGCCAAATCTACTTGGCAAGTTCCAGGCTAGCCAGGAGTATACGGGGAAACTTTAAGAAGGGAAGAGAAAATAATAAGACACATGTTGGTAAACCCCAAATTTTTGTCTTTTATTTATTATTATTATTATTATTTTTGAGGCAGGGTTTCAATATGTAGTCCAGACTGGCCTCAAATTCACAATCTTCCTGCCTCAGCAAGTGCTGGGTTACAGGCACACCATCACGTGCAGTCTCTAAATTGTATTTGTTTTTTTTTTATTTTTTATGTATTTTACTCTCTGTGTTTTGAGACAAAGGCTCGTTATGTAGCCCATGCTGGTCTCAAACTTACAACCCTCTTCCCTCAGCATGCTGGGATTATAAAAACAACTCTCTCTATATAGCTCTGGATGTCCTGGACTCACTCTGTAGACCAGGCTGGCCTTGAACTCAAGAGATCCACCTGCCTCTGCCTCTGGAGTGCTGGGAGTAAAGGTGGGGCCACCAAGCCGAGTTTAAACAACTCTTAACTAGGCCAAGACGCATACATGGTGTAGTGGAAGGAAACTCACACGAGAAAGGGGCCAGCGGTGAATTCAAGCCCCTATTCCAATCACTAACTAGCTGTATCACTTCGGACAGTCCCTCCACCTCTGTGAAACGGAAACAATAACCTACCACCCATTTAACTGAGAACTGAAGATCCAAACAGATGTAAAAGTATTCTGATAGCTTCCTCTGAAAAATATAAACAAAGGAGTAGAACTTAGGTAGGCGGTCAGACCATATTTTCACATTCCAATTCTCACTGGCTGGGTGACTTTGGGCAAGTAGGTTTAACTTTCTTACGCCTCGGTTTTCTCATCTGCCAAATGGGAACACATCCAAAAACTACCCTCCTCCCCGACGAACGGTGCCTTGACAAGCAATCGAAAGCATCCACTTAAGACAAAGGAGTGCCTGCCATCATCCTCGATCAATAACCAGTCAATCAACTTCGCCCTTCACTCTTGCACCGGAGTCGAGTTAGCAAGCGCGCCTTGGGCTTCGGCGTCGGTCGGACGGCGGCGTCCGCTTCCTCGGACCCTGTCCTCTCCTCGCCGTCCGCCGCCCGGCTAAAAACCCTCCAGGGACCCCAGCTCCTTGCCCGGCGTCGGCGCCGACTCTTACTGGATGACCTTGGCCGGATCCCCGTGGTTGCCATAGATCAGCGCCCGCACCTTGGACGGCTCCGAGGAAGCGGAGTAGGAGGAGGCGGTCCGGCCGCGGCGGCGCCAAGTCTCTAGTAGGAGACCCGCATGCAGAGGCGCCCGGGCTCGCGCCCCTGTCAGTCGCCCGCAGACCAACATGCCACTTCCAGCCCTGGCAGAAGCCGGCGCGCCGGGTCACGTCATCCGCCCGCGACCGCAAGCCTGCGCCCCGCCCCGCCCGTGGCCACGCCCCCGCCCTTTAAAGGAGGCGCCCCGCCACCCTCCTCTCCTCTCCTCTCCTCCTTTGTAGTGTTCAGAGAAACGGCTCCCCGCCAGCCGTGGGGGACTCGATTAGGGTGGCATAGGAAAAGCAGGGACCTGGAGAAGAAGTTGTAGAGCCAACCAAAGCAGCCTTCCCAACGCAGCCTTCCCAACGAACAGAGTCTCGGACTGACCTAAAGCTGCAAATACTGCTTGCAGAGTGGTGTTTCATTTGGGGGAAGTCATTTACATTCTGGCCTCAGTTTCCCTTTCCCACCCTCTACTGAACTATCACTGTGCCAGGCTCTTTAAGGTATCATTTCCTTTCATCTCCAATTACCCAGAATAACACCGGACTTTATCATCATCATCACCATCACCACCACCACCACCATCATCATCGTTATTTTATTGTTTTTTTGAGATAGGATTTCTCTGTGTAGCCCTGGCTGTCCTGGAACTCTATCTCTCTGTAGACCAGGCTGGCCTCGAACTCAGAGATCGGCCTGTCTCTGCCTCCTGAGTGCTGGGACTAAAGCTGACATGGAAGCAGGAATACCAGGTTCAAATCCTAGCCCTGCTCTTTCCTAGCTTTAGCAAGTGAGCACAGCTCCGAGCCTGTTTCTCGTCAGTGCCATGAAAATTATACACTTCATTTCAGATGGTTGTGAGGATTGGATGAAATGTTAGAAGAACCGTTATGGTGGACAGGATTACACATTGTAAAAACGTCAAGTTGTTCAGATATGAGAGGAATCGTAAGGCGGAAGGCATCTTTTAAAATGCTCATATCATAGAGACTGAGTAGGAAAATGGGAATGCTTTCTAAAAAGGTATAGGCCTGTGAAGATGCAGGGTCTTATTTTGGGTGGAGGGAGGACATAAGCATAAATAAACCTCCAGCTGAACCTTATTGTGCATGCGCGTGTACACTATTGCAGTTTGAAGAAAAGGAGCACTCTGTGATGGAGGCAGGCTGGGCCCTTTGAGGAAGGGGCTGTTGGAGCCAGCCCCTTGACTTCAAATCTGGGTGCGCAGAAGTCAGATGAGGTTGTTGTGGAACATGACTTTAACTAGGCAAATATGTGTTACATTTGTTTGTGCTGCATTTGTTTAATCATGTGAAGATGTGTTGCATGTGTTTCACCTTGCCTGCCTAAGGCACCTGATTGGTCTAATAAAGAGCTAAAGAGCCAATAGCTAAGCAGAGAAAAGATAGGTGGGGCTGGCAGGCAGAGAGAATAAGGAGGAGGAGGAATCTCGGCTGAGGAAAGAAGAGGAAAGAAGGAGAAGAGAATGAGGGAGAAAGAGAAAGACGCACTGGGGCCAGAAGCTGGGCTTCAGACACTGGAGGAAGCAGGAAAGTCAGACATACAGAAAGAAAGAAAGAAAAAAAGCCCTGAGGCAAAAATGTAGATAAAGAGAAACAGGTTACATTAAGTTAAAAGAGCTAGCCAGAAATGAACCTAAGCTAGGTTGAGCATTCATAACTAATATTAAGTTTCCATGTCATGATTTGGGAGCTGGTTGGTGGCCTAAAAGAAAGCCTATTTTAGGCCTACTGAGGTAGAATCTTGGGACAGGTACATGACCCAAAAGTATATGTCTTTACAAGCTTCCCAGAGTATGGTGATGAGGTAACCCAGAAGATAAGTGTTAGGGAGCCAGGGCTTTGAAGGACAAAAATGACTGACCCAAAGCTTGCCATGGAATAAAAGCCTTTTCTCTGAGGAAGAGAGCCCAACAAAGGATGGAGATCAAGGCTCTGGGAACTGGATTCAAGCAAATCTAGCTTTGAGTCCCGGATGTTTGATTTGGCTTCTCTGTGTCTCTGTTTCCCTCATGGTTAAAACTAAGGGGCAGAACTAGGGGCGTAGCTCAGTGGTAGAGCACACACTTAGCATGGGTGAGGTCCTGGGTTTGATCTCTAGTGAGGCAAAGAAACAACAACAACAACAAATTGAGAGGCTAATAGTCTCAAGGTTGTCTTGAAGATCGAAGGAGATAATGCCGCCTGAAGCACCTAGCACATTGCTTGGCACACGGGAACATTCAAAAACTATTACAGGGTTATGTGTTGCAGATAAAGTGAGAACTATCACATATAAAACACTAAGGCTTGGCTCAAGTATATGCTCAATAACTGTCTGCACTTTATTAGAGAAAGCTCATGTCTAATGGTGGGAGAATAGCCTGGTCCCACAGTTACGTCTGTGCACGTGCACACACGTGAACACAACACCCATTCCTGCTTACCCATTTTCACAGTGACAGGTAGGTGTACTTCTGCCAGGAAGTTCATAAGCTCTCTCTGCTGTAGGACCCTCTAAGTGACGTTGAGCTGTTTTTATTACCCCGCCCCACCCCCAATCCCTGGTCAGCCAACTAGAGAAGCCTGGAGAATCAGAAGCAAGTCTTCCTCCTTGAGGCTGGACTTTATCTCCCTGGACATCCTTATAAACCTTCACTTTTGGTCTAGGCCATCTGGGTTCACCCAGGGGCACAGTTTGAGAACCCCTGATGAAGGGGTTCAAGCCTGTGCCCATAACTTTGCATTCAAGACAATATGTGCTTTGATGCCCACCTATCATTCCTGCTTTATTTTCTTCTCTTAGATTGTACATAGCCTGTGACCCAACTCCACCTGGCCCCTATTTTGCCAGCTCCTCCTTGTCTTACACTTTTATTCAGGTTGCAACTGCCTGACATGAATTTTCCTGTCTAAACTGCCAGGAGAATTCCAGGTTCAGATATTATTATTTAATTAACCCCAATGCCTTTGTCTTTTCTCTGGGCTAATGCTGTGGCCTTTAGGATACTATCTCATAGTTACTTATATGCCCGCTTCCCCTTCCACTAAGAGTAGGGCCTTGTTTGGTTCATCTCCATGACACGACCTCTCAACAGGGGGCCTAGCACAGGATAGGCATCATAAATATTCCATGAGTTGTAGGTAATTGAATTTCTTCTTGATCTGGCACAGACTGTGGTACCCTATCCTTCTCCTTAGATTTGGGCCAGTCACTCCAAGCCAGGGTCTTTCTTCATCTCTCAAGGATTTTTGAAGTTTGTGGTCCTTTTTTAAAGCAAAGGGGAATGTTCTTTTCATCTGCCCACCTGTTGCTAGCTCTGGCACTCTCCATTCACCATAGTTTCCGATGCTGTCCCCTGACCAAGGAACAAGGGAATGTGGAATCTATCAAATTGGGGTTCAAGTCCTGACACCTTCATGGACTGACTGTGTGACCTTGGGCAATACCTTGTGCTCTCTGAGTCTCAGTTTCCATACCTCAAAACTTGAGATTAAAAAAAAAATTCCGTTCTATTCCCCCTGCAGTCTGGTTGCCTGATCACTCTTCTTTTTCAGCATGTATTTCTATCTTGCTTTCACTTTTCCCCCTCCTACCTCTGTCTCCCCGTGACTCTCAATTTAATGCTCTGGTCCTCGCCAGCTTTGGGTCTTTGTCCCCTTCCCTGTCTCAGCCTGGAGTCAAGCAGCAGTTATAAGAGAGGAGCCCAGGAGCCCAGGAACACTCAGTTCTTCCCTTTCTAGCCTCAGGACAGAGTCTCAGTGTGCCAGCCACAGTGTGAGCCAGCTGGGGGAAGAGGTAGGGAACAGGGAGGGTTTACATACGTCAGGATGTGCACTTAAATACATTCGTTCAATGTCCCTGTCTTTAGTTGTTGGGGAAACAAAAATAATAAGAAATCAGAACTCAAGACTCTTCCATGTTTCACATCAGTGGCTTATCATTTTCCTAGGGTTTAACCTATAACTTCTTCCTTCTTCCACTTCCTGTATGGTCTGCAGGCCCTGGCAACTTCTCCAGCTGCACCTGCCTCTGCCCCACCATTCCATTTCAGCCTCCCTAATCTCCGTCGACCCACCAGTCTATCTTTGCCCAGGCTAGCTCCTCTGGCTGAAGTGTTCCTTCCCATTGGTCTGCTTGAGGTCTCAGATCCTATGGTATCATGCCACTTCCTCAGCAAGGCCCCTTGGATCACATTATCTAAAGCAGGACCCCCGTCCCTAGTGTCCCTTGCTGCAGAGCTCCGTTTCCTCGAGGGTGCCTGTCTCAGATTGCAGTTACATCTATTTATGTTTGCTGCACTGCCCCCCTGCTGGAACAGAAGTTTCACAAAGTCTTCATGAAAGCAAGGACCATGTCTAGAACCATTTATCAGTTACCCACTCATTCATTGCTTATTGAGCATGCCAGATACCAGGCCCTGAGGGACAGTGCTTCTAAAGATGGTGATAAATACCAAATCCATCAAATAGCAGGTGGTCTGTTTAGAACTGCAGCAACCCTCTTCCCCCACTGTTAGTTCACTTACCATCACCCGCCCCGCCCCCACTCTCCTTCCTCTCTTCCTGATTCCTCCCTGAATGTAAGCTTCATGAGGGTGGAGAGCTTTTTAAAAATTTATGTTTTAATTTTAAACTATATGTGTGTCTATGTGCACAAGAGTGCAGTGTCCTACAAGGCCCAAAGTGATCAGATACCCCGGAGCTGCAGTTACAGGCAGCTGAACCACTGGACAAGGTGCTGGGAATCCATCTTGGGTCCTCTGCAAGAGCAGTATGTGCTCCTAACCACTGAACCATCTCTCTCCAGCTCCCAGATTTTTTTTTTTTTTTTTTTTTTGGTTTGTTTTATGTCTCCTCTGTGACCTACAACAATCATTAAACCAATGACCCTGTATCTGGTCAGTATTTGAGAAAGAATGGGTTTCCAGATGTGAGGCTGTTTCTTACACTGCTCAAGCCAGACAACTTTGATTCTGATCTTGGTGTTGCCTCATACTGATGCATCATCATGGAAAAGCCACTCTGTATAATCTCAATTTTCTCAACTGTGTAACGGGATTACAGTGGTCTGTGTCTCCTAGGGCAATGGCGAAGATTAACAGAGTACCAGCGGGAGAGGCACGTACATGGCGC